ATATATATATATATATATATATATATATATGTACTAAAAAGAGGTGAAACTTTATAAGCAAAACCTCAAGAATAATTTAGAAGGAGGGCCTTATCCACTTTATCCTTTATTATTGATGAGTAATCATCACAGGAAAAATGTCATACACAGTAGACTAGTACCCCTCTATTTTAATTTGTAAGTTGTTTTAGGTTTGGAGAGATTTTTCAAAATGTAGATCGTTTTACAAATTTTAGGCAAATTAATGAATGTTTTCTCAACTTTACGTTCGATAGATGATGCTAATCTATTTTTATTTAGTACTATTATTTATAGTTCTAATGTAATTAATGAGTAGTAAAATAGATATTTAACACTTAAATTAATTGTTGCATGATTGTCTCCTTAGTTTACATGCCAAATCTAAAAAAATTTATATTTTCAAATGAAGGGAGTAATAGGAGTGAAAAAATAAAGGGAATGGGAAAATTCCAGGAAGAATCGCACGGGCAAAGATCCTGCTGCCACGTTGACATTTAAATGTACGGCTCGTACGGATTAATTGGAGTACACCGGCGCTCAAAAGTCTTTATTATAGTATTCATTTAATTGTTAAACCAATCCTACTACAATTTTCTTTTTAATTTTTATACTACTACTGTTTACTACATTTATTATTTAGTCGAATTAACGTGGACAGAAAGCAAAACAGCTGTATGTGACTGTGATTGACCCCCTTTTGTTGTCATTAAGGTTTGACTCTACATTCATTCCATCCAATTAACAACATCTTCTTCTTCTTTTCTTTTTTTTTCCCCCCTCTTTCCGGGGTTTATCTTGTTGGAGTATAAAAAAAATATATAAATAGATATTTTTTTTTTTAGTAATTGTGAGAATATGAGAAGGATCTGTTTTTTACTTTTTAGGATGTGGTTGATGTCAAAGCAGACAAAAGTTTTCCAAAAAGAAAGAAAAATATATTACTCCCTCTGTTCCAAAATTATCGTCCAGTTTGATATTTCATTTTTAGTACAATTTGAACTAAAAATGAAAACTCAAAATGGACAATAATTATGGGGCGGAGGAAGTAGAATTTATTTCAATTTTTTGTTGGAGGGCAACAACTTTTGGTGAGCAGATTGCATGTTCACACAATTACTTACTCCCTCTCGTCCTTATTATAAGACATTTTGATTTCATCATAAATTTCATTTAAGATATTTTTTTTAATTGAAATAAAAACCTTAAAAATATTTCATAATAATTAGGAAAACACAACGAATGTGAAAATATATTTTGAAGATTTTTTTTTTCAATTAAATAGACATCTTAGGTTAAACCTAGGACAAAATAAAAATGTCTTATAATTAAGACCGGAAGAAATATTATACAGAATAATTAAAACAATAGTAATGTAAAACAATAGAATGAAAAACTTTATTGGTATCATATGTAATTAAGAACAATGTGTCGTGAGTTGAATGTATGAATTCAAAAATGTTGGAATTAAGGGGGGAAAAATAACAGCTACTAGCACACTATTCTATATTTATAATTGAAGAAAGAAGAGTATGTGATAAATTGGGTCAAAGTCTCAAAATCCAAAAAAAAATGGAGCATTGACCTCTAAAGTCTGAGAAGTCACGTCACCCAAGTCGGTCCAAGTCTACCATTTTCTTTATTCTTTTTTATTTTTTGTAGTAGAAGAAGTGGCTATGAATATCAGTTACGGAGTTGTGGAAATTTATGATACCCTCACAAATTTATGATACTCCATCCATTTACAAATAGACGTGAGATTTCATAAAGTTTAAGAAAATAATAATTATTTTGTTAAAATACTATAATACCTTCATTTACTCTTACTACAATTGTAGTCCCAATAACACTTAGTTCTAATATAATTCTACATTAAACATCATTACAGTTTCCAATGTAAGGATAATATTAGAAAAAATTAACAAAACATGCTTTAATTTGTGAGAACGACATCTATTTTGGAATATTTGATTTTTCTTCCAATATTTATTTGTGAATGGAGAGATTACTAAATTTCAAAGTCTCGATAGTTGAAAGCTTGAAATCGTGTACTAACCGTGGATTGAAAATTGAGCTTTGTAGTTTAATTTGTTCGTCTTTTGGAACTATCAATAACATGTGCATCGTAGTGGTATTACATATTCGCGACTAATCAGTTATGGGAAAGTGTTATAGAGTTAACAGTTCTAGTATTTTCTCTGTAAGTCATTTTATACTCTAGACGTAAACTAAGTAAGCAATCATTTGATAATTAATTTGTGTACTAAATATTTATTTCATCCATCATTAATTGTATTGTAACTATAACCAAGAATAGATGAAAAGTGGTTAGCATCATTTATTGGGGGTAAAATTAGAAGTTAATCTTTAATTTGCCTTAAAATTTTAAAACGAACTACATTTTGAAATATTTCTCCAAAGCTAAAGTGTTCTACATTTTGAAATTGAGGGAGTAGTATATTGTTTTCAGTATTCAAAATGGCTCAACATATTTTTGCGAGACTCACTCAACTCTTTGAAGTTTGAACGGACTTTTCAAATCGTCCTAAGCTTCAACAAAAATCATGACCATGTTTAGTAGTACTACTCTTTTAGTCCCCCATCTCTCAACATTCTTTAAAATTATTGTCTAGTTTAAAATTTTTATCTTAGTATAATTTGAATCAAAATAATTAAACAAAGATTCAAATTAGACAATAATTTAGGACATAATGAGTTTTTTTTTTTTTTTAACTTTTCAAAAATTGAGAGAATAGTTACTTAATTATTAACGAGTGTTTATCACATCCGTGTGGTTTTAGAACCAAGAAAAAATTAGAAAGGTGACTGATCCAAATCTTTCATTTCATACACAGTGTCCGATTGATCTGTTCGATACAACTTGAACGTCCAAAAGAAAAAGGCGATCACATGTAATCAAGGACTTAATTATCTGTTACACATGTAATAATAAAATCATAAATTTTAAACTGATTTTAGTGTTAATTTATATCTTATAATTTGGATATCATATTACAATATTCAATATATAGATATTAATTTTGAATTATACCTGTTGCACATTACATTCCCTCTCCCCCCAAATTAAAAAAAATAATAATAATAAAAAAAAATAGCGTTGGGTTTCATTACATGAAAAACAGTCAAATAAGACCAGTTTGCCCGTCGGCCATACCTCCACAAAATTCCAAAAGAGTACCTCAGTTTCCTCTAACTTTCCATTCCAACCCCTTCAACCACCTCATCCATTAGTAGTATATTCTTGGCAATCCAGATTAATTATTAACAAAATACTCCCTCTCTCCTAAAATTATTGTCCGAGATTTCACTCTTAATACAATTTGAAATAGAAATGAAAACTCAAACTGGTCGGAGGGAGTATTACATTTAACATAACATGCAAATGACAGCAAAGAAATGTCCAATTCCTTTATCCAAATTATAATACTGAAGAAACTAGAATAAGTTCTTACTAGTAGTTAGATGCAGCATCCATCATTCATGCATGGCTTAAAAGAAAATCCAACAAATCCCATATTTTGTGTTGTTGCTCCAGATTTTCTAAGAGTTTTTTTTTTAATTAATTTTCGTGCAATTTACTTGAAACTTCCTCCGTGTAGACAAATTGAAAACAGCAAAACACACGTGGTTGGAAAAAATTTTAATGGAAATTTAACACAGTCACACACACACACACACACACTGAAAAGTGAAAACAAGCTCATATTGCCACATTGTTGTGACACTGCCATCTTCCTGTAAATCTCCCCTTTTCAAGAAACTGAGTAAAATGTCCCTCTCTCTCGGTTTTTTTTTTTTTTTAAAAAATAGTTTTGGGGGTTTGAAATGTATTCTCTATATATATAGAGTTGGTTAGACCAGTCAGGTTTGCTAAGCCAAAGCCAGGCCACTTAATTCCATGTTCATCAAGGGATTAATCATTGCCTTAAAACAAACTCTTGTCATTTGTTTCTCCCTCCCACATTAATCGCTCTCTCTCACATTGTTTTTATAGATTTTTTTTTTAGTAGTGTTTTTATCTATATTTTCATCCTTGCATTGTCAACTCTTCAAGTATCCCTTTTCTGGGATCTTGCCGTTTTCCCTGTCTTCCTTCATTCAATATTATTACTAGTTGCATTTTTTGACGATCATCAGAGTTATTAATACATTCACATTTGAGGTAATTGCAAAGACCCCAGCGTTTGTAAAGATGCTATTTTTATTGTTGTTGTTTTTTTTTTGTTTTTGTTTTTGGATGAAATGATGGTTTGAATATGGGTCTGTTTTTGTATGAGCTTTTGGATTGTTGATGATGATAATGGACCCTTCTCAATTCTAAGCATTCTTTTCTGAGGATATCATCAATCAAACTTCCATTTTTTTTCCAGCGTGTCTTCTTAAAAATCTCATCTTTATTTCATTCAAAATTTCAAGTTGTCATTTGCTGCAATTGTAGGATATTTTAAGGGGTTGAAAAAGTCAATGGAAGCTGTAGAAACGTTTTCTTTCTGGTGCTTTGGTTGAGTTTTAATGGGATGATGAGATAATGAGTTTCTTTGTTGTATGAATATGCACACCATTTTGTTGATTATTGGGGGTGGATTTGGATTTTGTGGGATTTCAATGTTCCTTCTCCTTTTCCTTTAGTGGGTTCACATGAGTGTTGATGCATTGCTTTTATTCGAGAAATAAATTTCCAATGGACGGTGGTGTGGCTCTTGATATTGCCTGTTTCTTTTTTGCTTCTTCTTTTAATTTCATGGTTCATAACCTCTATTCATTCCTGTTGGGCAGATCATTATTAATCATATCAGAGTGTAGATGATTAACCTCGTTTGGATTCAATTAACCTTAAAAGATGACGATTTCTTGAAACTTTCCTGGGTGGACTAATGATGTATTGTTGTTCTTTATGCAGATTAACCCCTTGTTTAACTGGACTTTCCTGAACCAGACATCCTACATTTTTTGGAAGAGAAATGGGGATGTCCTTTTCATGCCCTTTATCAGATGATTTGGACAAGAAAATTGAATCCCTGTTAGTCAAACAAATAAGTTTAGGCAGAGGTGATGTTAGAGCTGTTATAAGATCTGTTAGCTTCAATAGTCGAGATTCTGATTCTGCAGCAGCAGCAGCCGGTGTTGGAATGAAATCATTTGGTTCAGGAAAAATGATCCTTGAAGGATCTCTAAGCTTTAAAGGAAGAGAACTAGAGACTAAGATATCGATCAAGGCTCCAGCCAGACTCGATGTAGAGCACTTGGGTCTAGTTACATCATCGGTCACTAGTAATAATAGCAAGCAAATCCCTCCTCTCAAATCGCCACTGCCCGATAGAATGCCAGAGAAAACTATCCCAATGCTATCGTCGCCTGAGTCTGCAGACAACAGATACCTTGCTGCACTGAAGCTGCAGAAAACTTATAAAAGTTTCCGAACCAGAAGGCAATTGGCAGATTGTGCAGTTCTGGTTGAGCAAAGATGGTATGTTTCCAATGACTGATCATACTTTATTTATTTGTTGCAGTTAAAGAGTTGGAACATAAATGATGAATTTTCTTTCAGTTAATGCTGCATCTCTCTCAATGCATCTTTAGGAATTACACATTAACTTTTAAAAATGGTCTGCTTGAAATATTGCATATCTAATTTTGAAGTGAATTACAACTGTTTCAGGTGGAAACTATTGGATTTCGCTGAACTCAAGCGCACTTCTGTGTCATTCTTTGACATTGACAGACCTGAAACTGCTTTCTCACGTTGGTCAAGGGCGAGAGCACGAGCAGCTAAGGTAGTGAATGGTGCCTGGCTTTTCATGTTTCTTTTCTTTGTAAAAAAAAGTGACCAATTACTTATGCTCTTGAACCTTTACTACCAGGTAGGAAAAGGTTTGTCGAAAGATGAAAAGGCCCGAAAACTAGCCTTGCAACATTGGCTCGAAGCGGTGAGTCCCCTTTGTTTTTTCTTTCCCAATGACGAGTTGAAGTTTTAAGATTTGCTATTTTGTTTTTCTAAGTTAATGATTGATTTCTTTCAAACAGATTGATCCCCGACATCGCTATGGCCACAACCTTCAATTTTATTATATCAACTGGCTTCAATGTGAGAGTAAACAGCCATTCTTCTATTGGTAAGACTATGTTATCATCATGCAAACAAATCGAAAACTAACCGCTGACTCTGGCTTTGCTTTATTGACTAATATTTTTCTCTTCCTGATTTAGGCTTGACATTGGGGAAGGTAGAGAAGTAAACCTAGAGCGATGTCCTCGGCCTAAACTTCAGCAGCAATGCATAAAGTATCTTGGCCCCGTGAGTTCATCTTTTCCATGTCTTTTCAAAGTTTTCTCGAATAAATAGCTACGAATCTGTTCATGATTTGTGTTGTCCAAATAAGGGTATAAGAATTACAAAATAAACCAAAAGGGATCTGTTTGTTTCACCAGATAGAAAGGAAGGCATATGAAGTTATCATAGAGGATGGCAAATTCATGTACAAGCAAAGTGGGCAGCTTCTAGATACAAGGGGTGGTCCTGAAGATGCCAAGTGGATCTTCGTTCTCAGTGTGTCTAAAGTCTTGTATGTCGGAATGAAGAAGAAAGGCACATTTCAGCATTCGAGTTTCTTAGCAGGTGGAGCTACATTATCTGCTGGCAGATTAGTGGTGAAAGATGGCATTTTAAAGGTATATAATGTGAAAATACCTGGACATGCTGAAAAGACAGCAGAATGCTTCAGCTATTAATCTCGATTGGTCGTTCACTTTCAGTTCCCTATGTCTCTGATCAAGACACGTTTCATCTTGTTTGCAGGCAGTCTGGCCTCACAGTGGGCATTATCTCCCAACAGAAGAAAATTTTGAGGAATTTATGTCGTTTCTAAAGCAACACAAAGTGGACATCAGCGAGGTCCAGGTAGAATGGCAACTCTATAACTCTCACGACATCGCATTTGTTCAAAGAGTGATATGATAGAGAGAGTGGATAATGTCGGCATACGTCAAAGAACAAAAGAACCAACCAATCACACTCTTTTAGCAGCGTGATTATTTATGTCTTGTGGTCCTTTGGATTTGTCTGTTCATTACGCATATGATATCCATACCACGATCACTCTTAATAGATCACGCCATTTTTGCTTATCCGTGAGGCTTTTTTGTTGTGCAGAGAGCACCTAGTGGTGAGGAAGAAGAAGAGCCTCTAAAACGGAAGCCAAGCAGCTTTGGACTCCGTACTAGCGTGTCTGAACCGGATTTAAGTCATGGTAATGAAGATAAAAATGCTGCACACTCCAGGAAGAATAGTAAAGATGATTTAGGCAAGAAATATCGCCGGGAGGACACAGATAATCTTCAACCACAGATATCAAGGTGGTCACGAGGACTTCAATCGAAGATTTCTATTCTGGAAATACCTAAAAGGGACAACATATCGGAATTGTTTAAGCAGCAACAAGAGCAGGAAAGTTGTAGCACTCCAGGAGATGAAGGATACGAAACAGCGGAAGAGAGCTTATCTGATTCTGAATTTTCTGTTTCAAAGGAGAATTTATTTGATGATGAGGATAGTGAGGAAGACTGCGAGGAACCCATCCCAAAAGAGAAGATTTTGAAACGGATACTTTCGCACAAGTCATTGAAATCTTATCAGTTAGCTAATCAGCTCTCTTGCAGATGGACAACAGGTGCTGGTCCTCGGATTGGTTGTGTCAGGGATTATCCTTCCGAGCTTCAAGCCCGTGGCTTGGAACTCGTGCATCTGTCCCCAAGAAGCAGTGGATCTCCTAGGAAATCTGCTCCGTTTCACCGAGAAAATCCAGGGAGAAGCCCACTTGCTATATCATAACATGCATAGATATTAGAACAGAATGTTAAAAAAGGATTATTCTTTTGGATGAAGCACAGCAGACTGAAAATCCTTGGAGTTCAAGATTGGGTGAGATAAAAACAGAAAGACTCAAAACTTTTCTGTTATTGACTCATTTTGATTCTGCTCTGCTTCTCCTGTTAGTGTAGGGATGACATACACGCACGACATATTTTTTTGTTAGTTATTCTGATGTATTATTTGAATCATTCTTTGATAGAAAACATCATAAGAAAAGGCAGAAGGATAATCCTTCAGATGCTCAAATCCATTTTTTGTAATCATACGAAATAAAATCGTGAAAGCTTTCTGAATCAGAATATGTGAGGTCTATTCTCCTGTATTTCACCAAAGCTTTCTCCAGCTTACTTCAATGGATTAGCCTGCCTTACCCTTTGGTGATTTACAACAATTCTTATATCTGCAGAAGTCTTCATTCATGCAGTGCTTTTATTTATTTATTTTGGTACAAAGGATGAGGCATTCATGCATTATGTTCAAAAAACTATTCAACACTGTTGATGAAGAACAAGTCCTCGTGCTTCATGGTTAACTTGATTGGAAACCAAAAAAACACTTTATATGTAAACTTTTCAAGCTAGCTCCTTTAAATTCGGTATAAGTTCAATGACATTTTTACACAAATCAACAAAGATGTACACAAAAATTTCCCTTATCCTGCAACTTCATTCTTCCCATCTTATCTCCCTTGCACCACCATTGCTTTTCCAATGGTTAAAACTCGAAATAACCAGCAGCAACTGAAAACCGTTCTGGTTGAACTCTAATCTTCACACTAGATTCAAATACTTACTAAAAGGGTTTAAACGAAAGGGAATATTAAATACTCCGAATAAAAGAGATTCCATATGAACCGATAGTATGCCGCGATTGCTTCCTGCAACGATCAAATTATGAATTGCAAACTGATTAAGGCAGAATCTGGATCACCAGCAATTAAGCTGTTACTCTAAGCACATCAGCTATAAGTTTATTGCCTTGATTATTATCATTATCACAAATGCCTTATGGTTTTTTTTTTTTTCCCAAATGTCCTTTACTTCTTCCAGACCTCGGATAGAACACAGAAGGTGAAGGGTAAAACACCTGGGTCCCACCTTACCACTCACCATAGCTCTCAGATTCATAAGGACTAGTACAAAAACTTAACTCAAGAGTGGAAACTATATTTGATAAAAGCAATGGACATTAGAGAAAAAAGATAATGCCATTACCTTGGTATAATTCGCTTTTTCCAGCAGCCAGGTCTGCAAGTAGATAAAGCAGAAATTATTAAAGTGAAATTTGAATGGTAGCAGGAATGGTGACAGGTTACCCCTGTATAGATTAGGAAGACAATTCACTTTTCAACATTACAACAAAACTATACAATCAAGACCAAATGATCTCATGACTTGTTTGGTAAAACAATACCCATAATTATCCAAAAAAGTAGCTTAGTACTCCCTTTGGTTCTATTTCAGAAGCAAAAGTTGGGTTTAATGTTGTGAACATTTTAAGAAAGTACCTGGAAAATCAGGCTCAATGCCAGTGCTGCATGTACGGGAATCATCAAACTCGCTCTGAAAGCCTGGGAAGTGTCATGCGAAATTAATATATTTCAAGATCAACACTTGTTAAGAAGGAATTTTGTCTTCATGCTTAAGGATGTCGAACCAAAGAGAAGCACAAAAAAAATTAACTAAGCAGAAAGTACGTGAAGCGTGTTCAAGAAAAGTCTTCACCTGTGACAAATAAATGGCTGCTAGGATGGCACCAATATAGTTTAGTAGTAATAGCCCAGAACCAAGAAATGCTATGTTTCTCACGCCAAGCTTCGTTGCAAACGTAGAAATCTGAAACCTGCAGAAAAGATAGAAATGGTAACCGCCCAAAAAAGGGTGTCAGAAATAAGGCAATACAGATTTTTGGTGAATAACATACAAAAACCAAAAGTAAGCGCCAGTCTCAACAAGTAAATAAAATAAACCACAAACAAACCTTGTAGAAAATGGATGCTGTGTTTTCATCAATCATAAGGATGACGAATAAAGTGAAAAAGTAAATTTATGCATTGTTAACAAAAGCAATAAACGGAATTTCTTTTTTTTTTTTTCATTATATTACGTAGTGGAGAAATAAAACTGAGCAAGAATGACTTACTTGCGATCCCCCTCCACATCAGGGAGATCCTTCGTTATGGCAATGACCAGTGCAAACAATGTTACAAAAGTCGTGATGAAAGCCACAGGTGAGCTGGCGTTGAAAAAGTGAATTATATGTCACGATATGACTAACCAAAACATCTCTACAAGTGAACTGAACTGAACTTCAAATGATTAAAAGTACTACACGAGTTTTGAGGCATATTGAGTAGAGAACAAGGTTTTAAATGGATCCCAGATAAGATTTAAATATTATACGACGGAAATTAGGGAGTGTTTGCATTGTAGCTCACCTCCACTCAAATGTCAGCCCAAGAGCAGCTCTTGTAGCATAATACACACCATAGTTTAGAAGGAAACCACGCACCTGAAAAACTAAACACATTTGTAACTATTTCAACATTCTTACTGTTTTTTATATTTCTATATCAATTGAATGATGTTATTTGTTTAAAAGAAAAAATTCGAGATCCAATGAATTTCTCCAATCTATGTTCACATCATTTTCTTCTGTTCAGAGCAATTATTCTTTTGATACAGCATAGAGGCTTGAATGATAACAATCATCTGAAGATTTCTCTGGGATTTCATTTTTAAATCAGGGATTCTGCTTCTAGTATTCACTTGAAAATCATCCATCAACTTGGGTTCATAGTATGATTAATTAATCATAATATGGTAGTAACTCCACATGTTACACTGTTAAGCAATATTTCCAGCAACAACAAGATTTTCTACGAAATATGCTGTATAAGATCACAAAGAATAATGATCATACCGTGGCAATTATAAGAAATGCTACAACTGGAAATCTCTTCATGCGAAATGGCGGAACAGAATAAATGGTTCCCAAGAAGAGCCCTAAGCAATAAAGGGCCGTAATAAACGGACCAAAATTTGTTCCAACTATGAGAACACCGGAAACGGCAAAAAGCAGGACCAAAAGCCATGCCAATTTAACAGAAAGATCTCCAGAAGCTATAGGCAAATAAGGTTTGTTTACCCTGCAGTGAGAAGAAACGCGAGTATCATCAAAAGCCATAACAAACCCATTCCACATATAAGTGGTAATCTCCAACATTATGTTCTGCATGAAATCAATAACTTTGGTAGCAGTCTTGCTTACTTATCAATACCAATATCATATATCTGATTTATGCCCACTATATATCCGTTTCCACATATCAGAGCAAGAAGACCAGCCATAGCCTTCAATAAAAGTGACCATCTAATCAAATGTGGGTTCTCAATCAGAGCTCTTGTCACCAGTGAGCTGCCATAAAGACCAACCAAAGAGAAAGGTTCTCGTGAACTGTAAATCGAGGTTCACTCATAATTATGATTAATGCGTTTCAAGCACTACTTACGCTGACCCTAACGCTGTTCCACGAATGGTGTGCGGCCTCAGAAACCTCCAGAAGGCATCCCTGAATGCTGAAACTTTATTTAACAAAGGATCAGAGGACCCAGCAGTACCCACGTTCGAGCAAGCCTAGCACATTTATTCTCATCAAGGCATAGGCTAAAAGAAAAACAAATTTCTCCCTCGTGTGTGGAGAACTGATGTAATCACGTACGTGAAGTCTTGAACACTTGCATTCTTTTTTGCATTAAAAAAAATGACCACATCTTAACTGAAATACAGGTCAAGAAATGACAATTAAAAAATTCAAAGAAAAATTTCCATGTGAAACTGTTGCTTCACTGAAACTAAAGGCTAAAGTTAGCGAGTATCCATATTAGAAACATTAAAACTGGGTTGCAGGCCTGATATACTTTTATGCATTGACCAAGAAAAGCTCAACGCTGAAAAGATCAGAACTTTACTGTTCTTCAATGTCAAAATTAACTTATACAGAACAAAGCTAAAGTTTCAAACCAATGCAAGTAAAAAAAATCAATCAACAATAAGAAAGAAACCGCAACCAAATGCGAACTAAAGTAAAAGTTCCTGTTTTTGAACATCAAAGCAAATAAAAAATGTCATTTAGCAATGTGAAATTCTACTACCAGATGAAAACAAAATCACAATATTCAAATCTGTTATTTTGAAGAACAAAGCTGGCTTTTCAAATTTAGCATAGAAAACGAGTTTAAAGCAAGCAACAACGTTGAATACAACTATCCATTTGTAAACATCAAAGATAAAAGGACTAAAATTTTGGAATACCCGGATGGAAATGCGCCTGTGGGATGATGCAGCTGAACCACAAGGATTAGTAGTTATTGAGGAAGATTTTCTGGGACTGAGGATGAACCCATCAGCAACAGCAGCAGAAATTGAGGACGATGATGAGGAGAAGAAGTAGCGGGAAGAATTGAGTGATGTAAAGTTCGGAGCTTTGGATTCTCTTTTGGTGGGTCTGCTACAAAATGCATTTAGAGGAGCAAAACGAATCTGCAGAGCATTGGAAACAGCTGAAACCTGGTGAACAGAAGAACAGCAGGCAGATGATGGGGATGAGAATGAAGAGAGCTCCATTCAGGTGTGGAAATGGGGGGCCGCGGGCATCACATAAGTTCAGCAGCAGCGATTCTTGGCCTCCAATTCCTTTTTTGGCCTCCGTAAACTGAAAAACTTTTATTTGGCTGGAATTTTGATTTTGGTTTCAGACAGTTTTCTTGGTACACTCATTTATCCGGATTTTGTTTCCTGGGTTGGTATGGAAAAATTTGCAGTCTGAGTCACCATAATTTATAGGGTCGATTATTTTAGTTTCTAATTTTGCGGATTTGGCAATTGTCATCCTTTTTTTTTTTGAGGCCGCATCTAGTGGTACTTGGGAGGTACCTAGGCTATTGCAACGGGGGTAGAGCCTACTGGGGAAGGGGATAATACTATTAAAGGTAGACTCCACTCACGTGCGTGGGGAAGGGGATAATACTATTAAAGGTAGACTCCACTCACGTGCGCCTCTTACTCGACGTGTCCGGTCCTCCAGCCGATGATGGCAAGCCTCCTACCTGCTTAAACTGGCTGCTGGTCAGCTACTTGCTTCTTCTTCCAGCTGCCTGCTTCCCGCGTCCGCGGTTGGAATAGATCCCCCAATCTCGCGGTTAAAGGTACAACGCCCTAACTACCAGGGCACGACTCCATTCCTTCATCTTTTGTTTTCTTTTCCTCATTCATTATGAAATTCCCTTCTAGTCTAGTGTTGTTGCATTTCTCTTTTTTCTAGTACAATTGAAAAGTCAAAGAGGTTTGTTGATTATTTCAAATTTGAATACAATGTTATTGCCATGTCTAATTAGGGTATAACTAGCAATTTGTTGATTACTATCATCGTTATGTCAAATTTTTTTTTAAGGGTATCGGTATATCAAATTTGAATAAAAGAAAAATGCTAAGTTTTTAAGCGCACAAACCAATATAGCTAATTATATGAATGCCATAATTCACAAAGTAATAAAAACCCGACAATGTGGCGGATAAGATAGCTAAATTATGACATTCACATCTCTTATATGTATATTTTTCTGATAAACCCACTTGAAGGATGTATAGACTCGATGTGTAGGGATTTATTTACGCACAATCGCTTTGTATCTATAATGTAATTAACAAGCCTTGTGCTTTCCAGTTATTTATATAAAAAAAATCTATAGTATTATACTAAGAGAGAAACCAGAGAGAGAAAACAAAAAAGAATTCTAAAGGTGCCACATAGGATAAAATCCTATGTGTCATTTTTCTATTGGTTGAGTCAAAAAATATTTACAATAATTATACTAATAGTCCTTCAAATTTTATGTAAATAAAGTTTTATCAAATGGCATTTAAAACTGTAGTTTAAAATAGGAAAATAAAAATTAATTAAATTTAATGAACATGATTAATGAACATTAATGCACCATAATTATTTCCTCCTAAAAATAATCCCCAATTAGTATTAATTGATTGATTTAAATTATAAGTTCAAAGGGATAAGACATTTATTATTTTCAACATTAATTCACCGGAATTTTTTACCCCAACCAATTCGAATAAAAAAAAAAATCCCTTTACAAAATAATCCCTAAAATCACTACTTGATTGATTTAAAACCTAAGTTCAACGTGCGGGAAAGTGGGAATTCTTTAGTGATGAAAAACTAATCAAATTTAATTGAAAAAGACTAATCAACATTAATGCAATGGAAGTCATTTCCCCACCAATCTTATCCCCTAATCAACGTGACGTTATTATCTTTATTCCATAGTTATGAATTTTACTTTAGTTACTGGTTATGATATCTCATTCAGACATTCACTATAAATATCCATTTCGGTCTAACTCTAACATGTACAATGATAACCGGTGAAACACTGAAGCGAAGCATCTTATATACTTTACAAAACATCTTTGCAGCTACGACCTCACTCCGATCATGTTTTATTTAACATGTAAGGTGTCTCTTTCTCTAATTGTGTGCAATCTTGATTAACATGCGTTTTTAACCGTGTAGATATAAATTGCTTTGATTTATATGACATGTAACATCTGATTTATTATTTTGGTGGTCTTTTTTACTTTTATTTGTATACAATTCTTATACATATTTCATTATTTAATTACATTTTTGGCATACAATTTATAAAATGTTGTCATTTCAAAGTATATATAACAATTTTATTTATCACGATCTAATTTAATTTTAATCATATATTTATTATTATTACAAATCAGTTACTTTATTTGTATTAATCACATTTAAAATTTAAAAATATATTTTAATAGATGTATATATATAAACCCCGCACATCGTGCGGGTTTAACATCTAGTAATAATAAAAGATAAAAACCTATGAAAAATAGAACTATTTAGAGGTCAATGTCCAAAAAATGTGAGCAAGAGTAATAAACGTAATAAAGGAAAAAAAGAAAATGATGCACCACAAGAAAAGGGAAGAAAAAAAAAAGAATAAAAACTGGTGAAATGACAAAATAACCCCTGGTGCCCTAGGGCCGCTGAGTGAAGGGCTTAACGAAGGGTCAAGATGATAATTGGTGCCGAAAAGAGAGCATCCAACGGATGAGATTAATTATCAAATACTATATATAGTCGGTGACAAAACCCTAATCCCCATCTCTACCCCCTCGCAGTTGAAGCTCGTTTTGCTGTTCCGCAGGAAAGCTTCGAAGCGAACCCAGATTTGTTTGAAGCAGCAGGTAATTCTTTCTCTGAATGATGATTTCCTGTTAATTTTAACTCTACAAATCTCTTTTACGCATGTTTTTAGTCCTTTCGTTTATCTGGGTTCTCTGAATTGAGGGTTTTAGGGAAACCGGTTGGATTGAATTTAGTTTGTTAGAAATTTGTGAACTTTGTGAAAGGGATATGGGTAGTTTTACCCTTTGGAGTTTCTCTGCGTTAATCGTCTCATCCAATGCTTACCGTTTTCTTTTTATTTGGGGTGATTATTTTTTGTGAGTCGTCCTTAGATGTCTTCCTTTTTTTTGGATTTATGTTGAATACATGTTCATGTTGGTGATCCTTTGCATTTGTTTCTATGAAATACGTCTTATCTATTTAGCTTAGAGGAAATGCTAGTATGCTTACATCTAGAGGTTGAAGCATTGAAGGTGTATTTTGTTCTGGAATCTGGAATCTAGTTGTAGGGTTTGGTATGCTTTTTAAGGGTTGTGGTTTTTTAATGGCTAGCGGTAGTAGTTCTGTTCCTAAAAGATGTTGGGGCTCTGTGAGCTTGTTAGTTTGGACCAATTGTGAAGCTTGTAAGCATTAAAATGGAGCATTCCAGTTGGCGCTCTGGGGCTCTGCTTGGTTGTGTTTCCACAAACTTATTCATTATGTTTTTGGTTCTTTAGGAATACAGCCCTTGCTTAAAGTTGAAACCTTCCTTTTAAATGTCTAGTGTGTTGACGGTTTATTTTTTTAGTTATGAGAAATGTTCTGGATCTGAGGCTTTCTTTGCCATCTTTTTGGCAGAATGGATTCTCAAACCAAGCATGCTGTTGTGGTGAAAGTGATGGGCCGTACTGGCTCCAGGGGTCAGGTGACTCAGGTGAGAGTCAAGTTTCTTGATGACCAGAACCGTTTTATCATGAGGAACGTCAAGGGACCAGTCAGGGAGGGTGATGTTCTCACACTGCTCGAGTCCGAGAGAGAAGCTAGGAGGTTGCGTTGATGGATCTGGACTGGATTTATCACAATTAATATGAGTGATGACAAAATCATTTCCTGTTGTAATCCAGTTTTGCGTTTCTATGGTATTCGTGTAGCTTTGTTGGCATATACTATCCCTTCGGACATGGATTGAATTTTATGGGAACTCTTTAGGTTGAATGGTGGAATCCTTTTAGGGGTATATTTTGGTACTTATTGTAATCTCTGAGGATGCTTGCTGATTATGACATTTTCATCCGGAAGTGTGTTAGTTTACCTATGCTGTGGCTGAGAAAGCTCTTTAAAGCATCGAGTAGAATTCATTTTCAGAGTAGTGAAAGTCAACAAAAAAAACTTGTCGAATAGTGCACATCTGTAAGTATATATAGATATTTCAAGGTGCCATAATCACCATTCAGTAATTATCACACTTTCTCCCGGGATGAAGTGAACCTTAGTAGGATTAGGAGTGGTACGTGTTGCCATGATTGTTTACCTATTAAATGATGTCCCAAGTCAATTATGATTTATGAAATGGCCATAAACGACCATACGGTCAACTTTTTGGCTTCTTGGTCCTTGAAGAAAAGGGATAATTGAAGGTGTTGAAGATTTTGGCTTCTTGGTCCTTGAAGAAAAGGGATAATTGAAGGTGTTGAAGACTTCTCGTTACAGCTGATTGGGAAGAGTCGAAGATTTTGTAAGTCAGTTTTTAAAATATATTTGAATGAAGTCGTTGTTTGAGCTCCAAAACTTAGTAGATGGAATGGTTTAGAAGTAAAAAACAATAATAATATCATAAACGATAACGCGCCTGGGCGGCTGCCTATGGATTTAAATTGATAAAGAAATAATTTTTGTTTATATAATCCTATATCCATAGTATCCATAGTACTTAATTAAAGGAGCAAACAAAAAGGACACGTGTCAGCTCCACAATCAAAATTTTCTCTCCAAAAAATTTTTTTAGTACAAAATGAAAATTGACAAGTGACACTCTATATTTTTTCAGATAAAAGGCAAACTTTAAAAACCCTAAAAAAAAAACGACAAGATATATTGAGGTAATACATGGAAACCGGTAGCTAATTCAAATTTAAATGAGATAATTAGGAAAAGTTTGATTTGCACCAACAAATCAGGGAGGTAAGCGTGTTTTCCCGATAATTTGTGACAGAATGAAAATCATGGATCTCATGATCATGGTGTTCCAGAAAATGCATCTGCTACTCCTATTAACACCAGTGGCTTCATCAGAAACCCCAGTTGGTGGATCCCAGATTACAATTCCTGATGTCAATCCAATTGCTCAAAGTGAAACTACTATTGTTGCTCCTCCTATCCTAATGGAAGCTGCACAAAGGTACATTGTGGACATCAATGTGTTGGTGCCAACTAAAAGCATTCATTCAACTAAAAGCATTCATTTCTACATCGTCGTTCGTGTGATGACTATATGGAAAATGTACCATACTCAAAATATGAAGGATGTCAAATCACTTGAGTTGGCTTTGGTTGATGTTCAGGTATTTTTTACATTTTGGTTAAGAAAAATATTCTTTAATGTACATGACTTTATATGTATGTTTAAGTACATTTTTAATTAATTTTTTTTTCCATACAGGGTTCCAAAATCCAGGTTACTATACCTGCTCGAATCATAAAAGATTTTGTTAAGTATTTCAAAGAACACAGAATCATAAAAGATTTTGTTAAGTATTTCAAAGAACAAGGTGTTTGTAGGAGGCTTTCGCTTTAATATTAATAGAGGTTACCGTTGCTCCAAACGAGTATAAGATACTGTTTGGATGTGACACATTGGTGAACAATGTTGTTGACTTTGAAACCAGTAAAAATGTTTTTGGATACACTCCTGTTGTTGACATTATTTTATTTTATTTGGTTATATAAAGGTAAATATAGATAAATTTGTAATGTGAAATGCTTGATATTTACTCAAACTAAGCTAAATAATAACTACTTTAGATTAGGATTAAATAACTTATAATGTATAAACGTTAGTTGTAGATGAAATAAATAGAATCAAGACATTAGTATTTAAGTAGTTGATTGAAGGAATGCAAACTAGTTTTAAGATAAGCATTAAGATATTGTCATTTAAAGTTATGGATTAAAAGGGGATAGTAAACATAGGTACGTAGTAGCTTACATTACAATCCTATATTCTAAGGCTATAAGGGTGAAAGAAATTGGGCTTGTGTGGAACTACATTGACAAGCCGTCGTCATACTAATCAAATATTAATTACCTACTTAATACAATTACTAGTAGTAAAGTAGCAAGCAAGGTCGATCCCACAGAAAAGGATACCAAGTATCAGGTTAAAATTATTTATTATTATTATTTAGACAACTAATAATAATGATTTTAAATTAAACTAAACCTAATACTAATAATTAAATCTAATTAATAAAAGAAAACCTAGTGCAAAGGGTTCACCAACCGACTACTCAGTTTAACCCAACCTATAGATATATGACTTTGGACTTTCATTAATCTCACAACGATTCACCTATTTAAGAACTATTCACTGTCGTGATTTAATTCTCTTACTTAAACTAACTCTATGACTACTGTCGTGACTATAGGGATTAATAAAAGTACATTAAGAACTTTAGAATCTCTAGCTGCAAAGGCGGTGTTCATACTGTCGTGGCTCACTACCTAAGTTTAATATTCCCATGAACTAATGTTAACTTTCAACCGTCGTTCCTTCAGTTAAACACATTTTAAGCATGCAAGTGGTGATCAAATACTAACATGGAATAAAAACAAGAATATTAAATATCAACTAATGAAATTCACAATCATGAATTAAATTAAATTAAATAGTATGGCAGCTACATCGAAAAACTTAATTAAATAATTTAGTTACAAATCATCTCAAAAATAAATAAAACAATGAAACCCGAGAGAAAGTCAGCCAAAAGTTGAGTCTAAGGTTGATGCGTTGCTGCTTGCTTCCTCCGATGATGCGTGAGGATGATGATGGTGCTGGTGATGAGGCGCGTGGAATTTTGGGGCTGGGATTTTGGTTTTTTTTCGTTTTGGTTTTGGTGGGTGGAGAAGGGGCTGGTGGAAAGGTTTTGTGGCGTGAGATTTGATGATGAAGGTGGAGAGGTGGCTGCTTGTGGTGATGCGTGGGAGTTGGGGGACAGCAAGGTGGAGGAGAGCAAGGAAGCAAGGTGGTGTAGTGCTGTTGTGTGGCTGCGTGGAGATGGGGAGAAGGGATGGTCGGCGGAGGAATTGGGGGAGGGCTGAATTGATTTTTTTTGGTTAAGTCTCTCTCAAAAATAAAACCTTAGTTCTCTTTTTATAGACTTTCTTCAAATCCTATTTCTTCAGGAATAAGAAAGTTATTTTTTTTTCAAGCCAATTTAAATTAAAACCCCTCCAACTCTTCAAGTGCTTCAATTTCTTCCTTGTCAATTTAACAAATCTTCAATTCTCCCTTTGAGTTGCTTTTATCTTCAATTTAGCTCAAAATTTCAATAATTCCTCCATTTGAGTACAAAACCTACAAATAAAGATAAAATCACATAAATAGCATATTTGTACTCAAAATATATTGCAAAAAAATACAAATTAGGGATATAATAAATAGGTAAAATATAAGCATATCATACATTCATGGAACGAGACTAATGTAAATAGGTTATTCATGCTAAGGTTATTAACGTGGAAGGACATGGAGCTACCAATCAGAAATAATATGAACTGGATAGCTCAACACTATCCTACTACCTAAGCTTTGTAGTGATTAAGAAAAAGTTTTAAGCTATGAAAAAAGCATACTAGAATTGGTTAATGAATGGAGATCTAGTACGTGGAATGCATTGAGCAATATGGGTGTGTCACTTAAAGAATAAATTAATAAGTACTAGCTGAACCAAGCACCTTGCTCATCTTGGTAACATGATTCAGCAAAGGTGAAAGAAAAATGTGGAAAGGAGGCAAAGGGAGTGCTGGAATTGTGGCCAAAGAACATGCTGAAACATAGAGCTTACTAAGCAATTGAAAGGAAGAGTTGTTAGGTCTATAGAAGGCTGAGTAAGAGGTCTAGGAGCTAGAGTTACTAGGTGAAGCAAGTTGGAGAAAAACTAGTATAAATAGAGGCCGAAAAAAAAAGATTTGGTCATTCACTCATAATCAAAAGAAAAACATACTACTCCAAAGTATACTAAGAGGACAAGAAAGAACATGAGTTTGTGAAGTTTAAGGCTGGAGAAACGAAACAAGAGAAGGAGAAAATACCAGCAGCAACCTTGTAGGAAAAACTTGCTCAAGTGAGGTAACTAATAAATCTCCCTTCAAGTTGAGTAATCTTGAGTTAAGTAGTGTTTATAATTAGTAGTTATTATAATTTACATTCTTTATTGTATAATAGTGTACTTAAAACACTCAGGAATAGATTAGCAGCATAGGAAATGACTGAACGTTAGCAAACCCGCAACCGTTGTTCCTGGCGGCAGCACCGTACATGTCTGCTAAAATTAACGTAAGTCTTTCTAGGAAACTCGGATTTAGCTGCTGTTTGTTGCGTTAGAATCTAGACTTTCAGGGCTTTCCAATGGTATATAATATGTACTATGAATCGTTCTGTAGTGATGAAACGAAGTCATCAAACACGTTCAGAAATACCATTCGCTCTTAACCTTAGTATGAAATGCTAACGTTTTAAGTTTTAAATGATGAAAACGTTTATTATATTGTTAAGTTGACATTGTTGCTGTCTTAGACTATGATTTAGGTGTTAAACTTTATAAGACTTAATATTAGTTAAAATACTTTAAATTAATAAGAAATTATGGCTTCCCGATTAAATGTATATGTCAAACTATAAAAGTAAAACTATTTGGATATATATATATATATAAGAATATATACTAAGATGATTACTATATAAATGATTTGAATTATCAACAATATTTAAGTATTTATTTAGTGTTATTCGATACGTGTTGCAGGCAGCAATTCCACGGAGGCGACAACTCCGAATAAATAGAATTTGTGAGTAATCCTCACTTTTTTCTAAAATCATTTCAAAACTGGAAGTATGAATATATTTGAAAAGACACAACACACGAACACATTTTAAAAATAAAAGTATTTTTGAAGAATATTACTAAGCCCTAAAGGTGATCTTATATGCCTTAGGGTGTATTTACTGAGTAACTTTTGTCTGTCTTAATTGCTTGATAAACGTGGAACTGTGTAAGACTATAAGCCATATTTGAATTTATATGTGCATGCTTAAGGGCCCGAGGCGACTAGTTGAGCAAATGTGTCATGAGCCGGCATAGGGCTTAGTCATGTCCGTTGCCACAGTGACTGTTCAGGATTCTCTTGAGATATCCGGTCGCGACATGGCATGTTGGGTGGAAATTGAATTGAATTGATACCTAGTCAGAAAGGTCGCTCCTTCTGGCAGCTTATCGGGTTTTTACGGTCTGAATGGAATTAATGGAATCGGCTAGGGTTAGGGTCTAACCACTCTTGCCATATCGGCTTTTGGATAAACTCTTCCTTTTGCCTTTGAATTTTCTTTTATCGATTGCTTGTGTGGATTAATATGCTCTTGTCTGTTATGTGTTCCCATAACTATATTTTGAAATGTTTGAATATTTCTTTATCAAAGTACATACCTGTAATAGTGTGGAACTCATTGAGCTCCGCGCTCACCCCTTTATTTTATATAAATATCCCTCCCAGGAGCAGAATCGCGAGGAGAGGAATGTTTGCTATAGAATTGTTACGCTAGTCTTTAGTTTACAAGTTTGTAATAACAGTAGGGTTATGGTTGTGTTACCTACCTTATTTTCGCAAATAAGGGACCTGTATTGTACCCATTGGCAGTTACCAACATCTAATCAAATATCTCTTTACTTTATGTTACGACTCTTTTACCTTGATAGCTTTAGCAGTTAGTCGAAGTGGTAACACCCCGACTCATCGATCCAGAATTATTTTGATAAGCATTTAACAAAAAAAAAAAAGGACCGATAAGCTGGATTGTTACACCTTTAATTTCAAATTTAATCATGTTATGTACTATTCTTTTTATTATCAATTTTGTCTATGGTCACAGTTTTTTCAGGCATTTGAATTTGAATTTTTTATTTTGCCATTCCAAATCAAAATAATAACAGAAAGCACTAAAAACAAATCAAACCAGATTTTGCTTTCATTGCATGAGATTATGCTATTACTGTCAATTGCATATATCCTATCGCAACCAGCCAACCATCAATCACTATCTACGCAGCCGAATTTTTGACAAGATCTATAGCCAGCAAAACAGAGTTCAATATCAGATCCTGGCAGGGTGAAGCGCACCAGCTACAACAGATCCACTGCAAGCTTGTGCCGGAAACATCATCATGGAGGTTGTTTCTTTGTCCTTGTTTTTTGTTATTGTTTTTTTTTTTTCCTTTTCTTTCTTGTTTTGGGTGCTTTTTATGCTGTTTTTCTCTGCTCATCCCGATCATGTTAGGCTCTATTGGTTCTTTCGATTGACTATGGGAGAAAAATTGGTACTCCCTCCTCCAAACTGGACGATCATTTTAGGGAGGGAGGGAATATATGAAATAGCGATTTGATTTGATTTTGTTGTTCTTTCAATTGTTTATTTTTCAATCTTTGCCCCTTTTTTTTGTCTGTGTTTTGATCTGGAATATATAAGAGCAGTTAATTGTACCTTTGTAAAAATCCAGTCTTTTGCTCACTGTTTATAATTTGATCAGCAGATGGGATGGGGGGTGTTTTGGAACTGAATCTCAAGATCATTGTAAGACTTTTCTTTTGGGGATCCGGAAGTTTGATCATGTTTGGTGAAGAACACACCATTTAGTTGTTTGGGCATTAGTTATCTTTTCCACATACTTTGCATTTATTTTCTTTGTTACTAATTGGATTCCATGAACTGAAATCAAGTTCCCCCCCACCCCGCTATTGTTATTGCCTAGGTGATGAAGAGGAAGAATGCTTCCAAGGCTTCTCGCAACATGAACAGTTTGCCTGATGAGATCATTGTAATAGTTCTTTCCTTTGTAACTATTTGTGAAGCCGCACGTACCAGTGTCCTTTCTCGTAGATGGAGACATTTATGGAGGTCCGCTTCTCGTACTTTGGCTTTTGATTCTGCTGCTGTTGGAAGTGGTGATGATGCTTTTGTTTCTTTGGTAACCCAAGTTATGGCATTGCATCGCTGTTCAAACATAGATAAGTTAAGCATTCGCCTGAACCTCCGTTCACCTAACGTCACCGATCTCGTGATATGTGATTGGATTGAATTTGCTGTGCAAAGACAAGTGATAATTTTTGAACTGGAAGCTTCTGGTGATATCAGTGTGGTGGAGTCTTGGAGTCACTTAGAACCCAACTTCAGTGCCCGGGCTAATATTAATTATGTCCCTGCAGATTTGTCTTCCTGCTGTTATAATTTCCCTGTTTTGGAGAAGTTGTTAACGTTGCCCCTCTCTAACCGGAGCTGCTTTGCTTCCTTAACATCCTTGAAGCTTGTTAACTTTAACATTGACGACGAGACCATGGATTACATTCTATCCAATTGTTCGTTTCTCGGACGATTGTATTTAAAAGGTGGAACAGGTTTGAGGAACCTGAATGTTGTTAACTCTCCCTCCCTCAAGTACTTGACTTTAGGTTCTTGTTGGGATTTGATAAAATTGAAGGTTTCGGGTGCAAATCTTGTGTATTTTGAGTACAAGGGGTATCGTGACCATCCTAGATTGATGATAGGCTTTTGCTTTGAAAATGTCCCTCTCCTGTCTGAGGTTATCAAGGACACAAGTTATTTCATGTCTTTTCTTAGCAGGAAGTAATTGCATGAAGTGTATTCAAATCAATTGGAGAAGGTGGCCATGCATATTTCTCGTCCGGTTAGAATTAATGACCATCTTTTTTCTTTCTTTTTGTTATTATATATTTGTGAATAATGCATTCTTGTTAACCATTTCAATTATACTTTTGCCTTTTACAAAAAAAAAAAAAATTATACTTTTGCTTTGATCAGGAAGAGATTTATTGTGGCATTTCTCATTTTGTTCGCGATCTCCCCCACATGAGGAGTCTCAAACAGCTTGATATGTTTATTGGCACGACTCCGCCGGCAACTCTAATAGTTTTTGTGGGGTTTGTTAGAGCGTGTCCTTTGTTGTCTACCTTATCCGTCCAGGTACTTACTTTCAGGTGCATGTACGATGCAAATATATCTGAGCTTTTGGTTGTTCTTCCTTCTATAAAATGGTTTTTACCCAAGTGGCTTGGCATTTTCTTTGCCTTTTAACTCTGTGTTTAGCAAGCTGCCTCGCATTTTGTTTGTGTATGCTTAAATGTTTCTTGACTACTGGGGTCTTTGTCTTGTTTTAACAATTGTTATTGGGTTCTTGTGGCAGTTCCATGAGTCGAAAATAGTGGATCCACTATATATGGTATGGACTACTTCAATTTTTTTTTGTAACCAGTAAATGGTCATTTCAATAACCAATTTCACATCAGGACCACTTTTCAGAACTAAAATACTTTTTTGGGAAAAATGTAAACATTATATTAACCAGCACCTAAAAGGGATTCTGTTGCATTGTCATGTGGGAAGAACTGATTAAATATTGGTAAACCTGTCCATCTCATCTCATTTATGTTATAACCTTTGATTCGACTTCCAACTTCATTCTGAATGATTTTTCTCCATTCCCTTCTTGGCCTTATGCAATCTCAGATTACATTTCTCCGGACATGATAAATACCTAATCGTTTTCTCCAATCTAACCAGAAGACGGATTGTTTGGCAGATTGCATTTAGCCCAAATACACTTAGCATCCTTCATTTTCCTTACTTTTTAACTTCAGACGAAAGAAAGTTGTATTCATCTTCCCTGACTGGATCCACTCGTCTTTTGCTTTATGTCTGAGAAAACTATCAACAGCTTTGCTTAATGATATGGACTCCTCACAAACTTCCTTCTTACCTGTTGTAGCCTTATATCCCCTGGGAAAAGATTCTTGTAATTCTTTGAGGGCCTCTTGTGCAGCTTTAGCTTTCACCTCTGTATCAGCAAAATGGTCCCGATTCAGCTGTTTTATACTGGTTTTAACCTTTTGCGTTTACAAGCCACCTGATACATTATAGTACCAAAAACGGCTACTTTCCAACTCTCCTCGACAACTTCTGAAAATTGAGAATACTAACTCCATGATTGAAGTACTTCATAAATTTATGATACGCCTATCGTATCGTAAGATACATTCTAATATAATAATATGTATAAATAATAATGAATATCTTAGATTTCATATGTAATTGAAAATTTATGCATATTATTTAGTTTTCAGTTATTGACAAATAAATATATTATAAGTTGAGTTCAAAATTATTTGAAAGTTACACAAATTACTCATGCATTACATGAATAATGGTTGTAAAAACATTGCTGGTACATCTTACTTCGCCTTATCACCTTATACATTTATTTTTTATTATTTTATTTTTATTTTTTGTAACTAATTAATGTTTTTGACGTGACCAATATTTATATACTGTTTTCTGAAAATTTTTTATCTTATTATTTGTCTTTTGTAAATCAAGAATACAAAAAGTAATCCCAACCACAGTAAGTAGAATAAAAAACGAGTATGTAAATGGATGAAACTGACCCAACTCCCACATAATTATTTGTCTTTTTTCTTCCTTCTTCATCCTTTGTGATACAGGAGAAGATGCTTTGATTGTTTATACGCAGTAGTAACCGAGTCAAGCAGCGCTATAGTCATAGGCGTTTAAAAGTGGTGACATTGACTGACTTCACTGGTAAAAGTGTCGAAGTTGAGTTTGCAGTGGACTTGGTTCAGATGTGCAAGTCTCTGGAGAAATTAATTATCAAAACTAAGAAGCAGAATAACAAACAGCCACCGGTGCCAATAATTGGAGGTGAAGAAAGCTTGAAGATGGTAAAGGATAGTCTACCGGATGGTGCTGAAATGGTGATTGAGTAACATATGTAGTGTATCTATATGTATTCAAAACCCACCTTCTTGTTGCATGATACGGAGAATATAAATGCAATCCTAGTCTGCCGCATTCGGTGGAATTTGGTTTGGCACTATGGAGATTTATCCGATGACAGTTGAGTTATAAGGAGTTGGTTCTTGACCACATTGTAGCAATAATCACTCTTATGAAACTGTATTCCACTGCCCTTGTATTACATTAAGCATTTTATGCTATCGCACAGTAGCATCGGCCTTATTCTACACTGAAGGAAGTTGTAACTTCTTAGTAGTCATCAGAATGTTGTTAGATGGGCGCACCGAATGCTGGAAATCTTGGTGATCATCATAACCATCCATACGAATATTGTTAACACCGTGGTTAACATGAGTAGTTTTCTAAATTTTTTTATAGAGAGTAACAATAAATTCTTGGCATAAAGTAGACACGCGATCAATGATCTTTTATGCTACAACAATAACACTTGCTATTTTTTACATTTTTTGTTTTCTTTAACTTCCCAACTTCTCACGGATTCAAGTTAAATTCTCACTTTTGGTGATTTGTAATATTTTTTTATTGCCGCATTTATTCAAGAAATTCTATAATCTAACTTGGACGGCTCTAATCAATTTTAGAACCAAAACTCTACAATTTATAAGCCTTGAACTAATTAAAATGCACAAATAATAGATAGTAATTCACACGGTTATAAAATTAATTTCAGGACACTTGTTAAAGTGCACACAGTAAATAATAATAATAATAATAATAATAATAATAATAATAATAATAATAAATGCACAAATACTTATCATCAGTTCCTTGTATTGATCAATTAGTAAATCAAAAACCCTAAGAAGGTGCGTAGTAAGAACAATGAAACAAAGCCATGATGCATTCATTCTTGGAGAACATTTTTTCTTTTATCACAAGACCTTTCACCGATTAACTTCTACTAAATAAAAAGAATCAATCAATTAATGACTATATACTTGGATTGGAATATGGACTTCATTTCGGCATTAAATTAAAAAAAAATTAACTATTAACCCAATTCAGAGAATCAATCCAGCAACAGGGCTCAATTTTATTTTATTTTTTCCCCCCTTTTACCAATTCTATGGTTTTTGTAGCAAGCCCTTTTTATTACAAAAAAAATAAAAACAAGTGAGTTTATAATCATTCGGGAAGACACAAAAGATATTTACATATATTTTAAGTATTGGTATTATCCTGGACATATTGAATTCATGAACAACAATATGCATCGTCATCATCATATATATAATCACGTAGGCTAATTGCTAAAAACAACTTACACACAGACTTTTAAATATCCACATATGTAGATGATGAATTGTTATGGATAAAATCTGGCACCAATTAAACCAAAACCAAAACCATTAGAACATGCTTTGCTAGTGCGTGGTGTGTGAAACTAAACAAAACCAAGGCCAAAACAAAACGAATATTAGAGACTAGTACCTCCCCCCAAAAAGAATTGATCATACCTCTGAGCACTCAGAAAGCAAAGCTCCGAATTTTTTTCGATAAAAACTAATTATTTACCGAAGACTTCATGCTTTTAGTATTAATACACACTAAGTTCAGGCAATGGTATTATAAAGCTCGTTGGTTAAAATTTGGTGTAAAATTAATGCTAGACTGCTAATATGAAACTAAGTATAAGAACAAAGAGGAGAGACAAGAAAGTAGAAAGAGATAAGAGACTTGTATGCAGGTGTATTTTAAAACATGAATGAGCTCCTCATTTATACATGAAGTAGGGAATCAAACTGTGAGAAATAAATCAGCTATCATCAATGCTAAATATTATAGAATCACATCTCCTTGATTGTGAATAGAATAATACATATTAATTGTGAACATTTAATCAAATCAAATCAAATATTTCATAACAACAACAACTATTGATATTGTCATATCACTTTCTTACTAAGACTTTGGCATATGTATATTGTAACCCTGATTGTGCTTGTTTAAATACTATTTTCAGAAATTAAAAAGAATTTTATTTTAACCTAAAGAAGAATGGATATGAAATCGTGGCTGAGGATAAATTGGTAATTTTCATGGCAGCTGAATGAGTAAAAAGTGTGGAGCCCGGCGAATAATTCGGGTGCAATTATTTGGAAGTGTTACGACCTTCTGTCTGGATAATTCCAATTCTCAATTCACATGCCCTTTCTGACATTTTTTTTCTTATTAACTTTCAAATTTAATTTTTGTTCTTTCTTCATTGACACTTTCTACTTTGATTTTCGTTTTTTTTGTGTGCTTTTTGCTTAATATTGACCAAAATAATAATAATAATAATAATAATAATAATAATAATATATTTATTCCGTCTCAAAATAATTATATTTTGTTGAAATAATTTGTGAGAATATTGTATTAATACCACGTATAAAGTAGTAACATACTCCCTCGATAACAAATGAGTATGTAATTTCAATATTATTTTTTAGCACAAATTATACTAAATGTAAACTCCACAATCATTGCAAGATGAATATATTATCTATGTAATTAATTTGCTAGACGTGTATTATAATGGATTGCTATCTTTCTCCTTGCTAAGATGGTCATAACAATCAGTTGTCGTATATTGTTATTAAAAGTTAGCTCGTATTTTAGATAATTAGCTAAAATTTGAGGGTATTTTCGTATTGACCCTAACCTTTTTTTCTTTTTTTTTTCTTTTTTTTCTAATACCAATTACCAAATGCAATCAGATGAAAAGTGATAGGGCCGTTTCTCTGGGCCTAGGGGCCAATGAAATGATGAGAAAAGCACTAGGAGCCCATTCAATATGTAAGACAAATGGTGGAGTCAGCAGATGGAGAGTTTTTTCTCTGTTTTGATCCTAATTGATGAAATGTGAGTTTTCATTCCGATTGAATATGAAATATAATTTCAAAAAAAAAAAAAAAAAACATGAAACAAGTAGTCCCAACATCAACAAATATACAGTTACTGCAACTACTTTTTCTTTTATATATACTGGGCAAACCTAAACTTAAGTACAAAATAACTCATCGAGAGTGAGTTGAGTTAAGATAATGTAACGCTATTTTTTGTTGGGTAATGTTGGAGCTTTAAAGAAATCACTTGAGAGAAATGACCTTGCTTCACATTGAGGAGACTCTTCTTCAGCAACACTCCATGAGAATTGTGTATTTGTCCATTTTTCTCACATTGAATGGATCCGATGATACCGCGAATCGGGATCATTTGGGGAATGTGGTTTCTGAATTCCTTGTATCCACTCAGCATTTGATATTTAGGCAAGAAATGGTTGCATTTATCTACCCAGATGATGATGATGATGATGACGGCTCGTCGCAGCAAACTATCTCTTCTTCTTCATCATCTCAGGAAGTCCAACTCCTGCTAGGTACGGTTGATTCCCTTATTCAAAATTTCCAAGAAATGCATCTGCGTTCACCCTACTCTGCTACCTACATGCTCAATAAAGTTTGTTCCAAGCTAGAATCTGTCCAACACTTCCCCGGAGAGTTTCTTTCGTTACCTTTTCGATTATTATCAAATTCTTGGTCCTCCAGCGCCATCCTTTTCTTCCATGGACGATCGTATCCTGGAAATCCCAAGATTCTTCAAGAGCCTGATTCTTTTTACAAGTTCTCGGGGACTTAGGCTTGATCAGGTTGAATCTCTGTTGACTCGCACTCAGTGCTTCATCCTCAATGCCGCCAGTTTCGCTTTCTTGTTTCCTCTCAGCTTCTCATCCCAGCAGCAGACAATAGACTTATCTTTGGGGACTTTGTTGATTCTCTACTCAAGCTTCTCTGGAACCTGCTAATCCATGACACTGATTCTACAGACATCCTTAACCATCAAATGCAAAAACTCTTCGGGGGACTCACATTCTTGCAAACCCTCATGATTCAGCAGCCAAGTAAGTTTGATGAGCTATATAAGAAGATGCATGCCCTTATTGAACTTGTGGTTTGCGAGGCTGGAATTATCGTTATCCATCTTTCTGCAAAAGAAAAAAGAAGCCTCTTTAAGAGATTGGAGATTCTGTTTTCAAAAACCGAGAAATATTTTTTTAAGCTTATTGAGGCTGTAGAAGAGGAAGACACACAACTGATGTTGGCCTCCGAATTTCCTCAGACCAACCAGCTTGGTTTTACGGATTCTCTCTTGATGGAACTAAAGTCGAAGATGAGTGCCTGTGATGCTGATTCAACAGTTTCTTCAGCCAAGGATAAGCTTCAAGCACTCCATGGTGATCTTACCTATCTAAGATCTTTTCTGGTTATGTTGCTGTCTGACCAAAATCCGGAGTTCCAATCTCTCCGGAGTAGCATTGCTGCCGTAGCCTATGAGACAGAATTTGCCCTTGACTCTTTCACAGTTAAAGCCGATCTCGGGAGTTTTATTAAGATGCTAAATGACATCATAGGAGCTGTCAAAATCAGGTAATTCTGAGGCTTCAAAAGCTTCTCCTTTCCAGAGCCAGAAAAAAACCAGCAAAGTTGTTGAAACTTCCCCTAAGATGTCAGCGGCAAGTGAGACCCGTGAATGGAATGATGATATGGTGGGCTGGGATGATGAGGTACAAAAGATAATTGATCGACTCACAAGAGGAACAAAACAGTTGGACATTGTTTCTGTGGTGGGTATGCCTGGATCAGGCAAAACCACAATAGTGAAAAAAATTTACAGGGATCCCTCCATCATGTTTCACTTTCATGTTCATTCTTGGTGTACTATTTCTCAATCATAGAACAGGAGAAGGTTGTTACTTGAGATTTTGAATGGACTCGGTGTTAATTTTGCTGGCAAGCATTTAGAAATGAATGAAGATGATTTGGCTCATAAGGTCTCACAACAGTTGAGGGGGAAAAAGTATCTCATTGTCTTAGATGATGTTTGGGATATTGAAGCAATGGACAGTTTGAGAGGTTCATTTCCAAATGATGCCAATGTAAGTAGAATATTGTTAACAAGTCGACATCATAATGTGGCATTGCAGATCAAACCAGATAGGGAACCTCACAATCTTCGCTCCCTCACAAGTCATGAGAGCTGGGAACTGATGCGGAAGAAGGTATGTTTCGATTTCAAAGCAGATAAAGAACTACTTGCGCGTGCAGAGGCAATAGCGCACAATTGCAATGGATTGCCGTTGATGATTTTAGTTGTGGCTGGACTTCTTTCTAACATGGGGCCAGACACTTGGGAAGAAGCCGAAGAAAGGTAGCCTATCTCTTACAGAAAAATGCAGGGAAACTATCGAGTTGAGTTAGTCTAATTTGCCGGAGCAATTAAAGCAATGCTTTCTTTACTTTGGGTTCTTTCAAGAGGACCAACAAATTCCTGTTCGCGAGTCATTATGGCTATGGATGGCTGAAGGATTTTTGCGTTCTTCCAGAGGAAAGGTCAAATCTTGCGTTCTTCAAGACCTGTTACGTGACTTCTGCAAGGCAAAAATGCAATGAAGAACATTTTCTGTGTTGCTTACACGGTCCTGAGATTGGTATTTGCACCGAGGATCCAAGCATATTATACAGGTTGCGCGTTTACTCTGGGAAAGATGAGGATCTTGCTGATTTTAGGCTGCTTGGTCCTCGTTTACGCACTTTGTTCGCCACGTCTGATGTCAACTTACTGGATCAACGACACTGGTATGAACAGTTGTCGTACTGGTTGAAGCAGTCCAAACTTTTAACAGTTTTGGGACTGAGAAACTTCTACGTGGGCGTACTGTTTCCGGCAGAAATAGAGTCCATTTGTTCACTTGAAGTACTTGACATTGGAAATATCATGTGAACCATCTTGTCATCCCATCGTCAATTGTAAATCTCTCTAATTTAGAGACTTTGCGCATTCAGGGGACTCGACTAGTTAAGCTGCCTGTGGAATATGAACAAATTAAAGCACCTGTGCAGAGAAGGTGATGGGCGTACTCGTTGGGTGTTGCCAACCAGTCATCTTGAGGATTGCTCCAATCTACAGATTCTGCAGACTCTTTCCTCCGCGAATTTTCATTGTGGTCGAACAATGATGGAGGTAATGAGGAAATGTCCCAACATCCGCAGAATCAAATGCTATCTCGACCTGGCACCGAGCAATGCAGACTGCCATATTGCACTAGATTTCATGACTCAACTTCAATCGCTCTCCATAACTCAACACAAGGAACTTGGTGACTTTCAGTTTCAGTTCCCTGAGGCTTTAAAGAATCTAACTCTGTCAATGTTTTCCTTCCGTGGAGCAAAAGTTCAACCATTGATGGACTGCCAAATCTTGAGGTTCTCAAGTTACTGAACGAAGCATTCAGAGGGGAAAATTGGGACATGGAAGAAGAAGGAGGGACATTCCCTAGACTCAGGTTTCTTAAACTTGGGAAACCTTGATTTAGCCAGGTGGGCAGGTTGGGAGGATAATTTACCCGTCTTGAGAAACTAGTATTGGAAAGATGCAAGAAGTTGGAGGAACCTCCTACCTTCCTGTTTAGCCCAGAGTTCAACCCTTCAGAGGATAGAGTTAACTGATTGCGATTATGTCGTTGCTTCAGTAAAGCGAATCCAGGAAGAGTATAAGGATATGGGAAATGAGGATCTGAGTGTCATTCAAGTGTCATCACCTTTTGTTAGAAGTAAGCCCATGAATGATTCTTTACTTTTACCAAACTAGGTCTGCATTTAGCTGTTTCAGTTACTTTCGGGATAAAATTCATAAGCAACAACTCATTCAAAAGTTAATGTGATTTATAAACGAGAGCACAATTGAAAAGACAAAATTATTATCCTGTAATCTGATTGCATGCATGCTTTTGTAGAGGAACGAGTGCTTGAAGATGGCAATGAAAAGCTCTTGAGAGATACATTTATGAAGATGTGGGATTTTCATGATTTCCCATTCTGAACTGTCAAACAACCATTGTTGACGACCAAAGTTCATCTCTATGCATTGGTTCAGAAGTGATGGTGTAAGTGTAGGAGAGGAAGGTCTATATCATGGAGTAATTTCTCATTCTCTGTTGGTCCAAATGCGCTGGTACAGCACAAGGCTGCTCTGGGAAAAAAATGGATTAATTGAAACTGTAAGTGTGTAGGGATTTCAACATCTAGCTTAATTGAGTTATTCACTTCCACTGCATTAGGGTTTATGAAACCAGCTAAAACTCTGTAAAAAAAGACTTTATGATATGGATCTTATATCTTGTTTAGGACCCCAGACAATGGACTTTCTCATCATAAGTTTGGATTGCATATCTGCTGCTTGCCTTTCCATTGGCTTTGAGCGTTCAAGGTTATTGGTTGGAGCAGAGCTGCTTGTCCTACACATACATAAGCATAGTCGCCGTACCATTCATGGCTGGATCCTGGACTAAACAGGTATAGTTCTTTGAAACCTTCTCTTCCCAATTGCACTGAGTTTCTCCTACCCTGATTATCAAACCAATGAGGAACATTGATAAACTTTAGTGTGCTGATCAAAGAATAACAGATGCTGCAGATTAAAAAGTTGGCCAAATTTTGTAAATTTTCATGAAGCAAGTACCCTGTCAAGAACTGTGAAGGAGCGAGGTGAGCTGGTGTAAATCCTGCTCATTTCTTCCTGCAGACTTTTGTAGTTTTCCTCTTCTTCTCCCTCCGTTGTTTCTTCTTTAATTGTCTCATCACCATGTTGTCTGTTGCCTTTTGCCGCCCAGCTGGCTAAGAGATTATTCAGGAATCCCTTTTGTTTGCTTGATCCGGTATTGCCAAAGCTGGGGTGAACCAGGCTATAATCTGAGGAAACAGGATGCCTGCTACTAAAATCTGATCCTTCGAGTCCAATGGCGTATGTTGCTTCGGGTGTGCTCACTGTCAGATGGCTTAAAATTGCACCCTCGAATGTGCAGGATGATGAATCGCTAGTGTTGGATACCACGATTTCAGACCGCAACAGGTCTTCTGTTAGCCTGATGATATGTTTAAATTCAATATTGCTAGCCGCATTTTGGCAGATCAGTTCGACCTGATGAGCCAGTAATATTTTCAGGTACCACTTTTAGAATCGACAAAAACAAGTGAATTTTCATTACTGGTAATATCATCCATTGCATTATATACTACTGAACCTGAGTACTCACCTGAATGGAATCCTGAGGATTTCCTTTGACTCCTTGGAGAAGCCAAGTATTTGGAGACCAGACAACGCCGTCAACATTGCACTTGAAGTCTAACGAAACTCCTCCTCGGATAGCTGCTGCTTCGCCGTTGTCCCCTTCCGAGACAGAGGTGTGCAGTAACTCCATGGTTCCTCCATGCCACATGGAGGCTTTGTAGGAAGTGATGAGCCCACCTGGAAGCATAAGACGAGCCACACTCCCGTTTTCCATTTCCATTTTCACAATGCAATCGTCACCTAGATTGGAAAAAGAGACTCCATTCCCCTGGCTGCCAAACTCATTCTCTAAATACCCTGCATCTAGAGGCGGGCAGGAGACCGAAGCAACTGATGGCAACCTCGGCTCTCTTTTCTTGCTCCCAAAATGGATGGGATTACAGGCTAACGAAGACCAAGAAATGAGGTTAAGATGAGGAATAGATTTTGCGGGAAGAATTGGCGGACAAAGATTGGTAATTGTAGTCATAGTTCATTATGCAGAGAAGGGTGCTCAAAATCTCAAAACTCTAAAAGATTTCTGATCATTTTAAAGTTCTTTTTGGTTCGATGCCTGGATGAGGAGGAGGAAAGAATAGATAGATAAGCAGGGATGGTCTTTTATCCTTCAATAACAAACATGTAAATATTTGCAGATAAAGGTGGAAACTTTCTCTCTGATTTTTGGTTGGTTCTGAAGGAAACTTGGGTGTTTGTGTGAGATATTTTCTCTTTTCTGCTTGTTATTGTACTTTTGCACACATTTCTCTGATAATTTTGCAGATATTTTTACAGGGGTCCCCTCCTCTCACTTTCATGGTCGAGGTTGGATCCCTAATATTTATTATTCCTTTAATTTCCAGCAATTTACAGTAGCTATCATTGAAAGTTGAAACCACTGGATGTGAGCAATATAGTGAGAGGTTCCGAAGTGAATTTGTGGATGATTTTCTCTGTTTAAGAGCATTATTTGTTGATTGAAAGATTGCCGTGTTCCGATATCATGAAGGTTATATATATATAGAGAGAGATATGTATGTTTGCTACTAACATTTACACTCCAATCATTCAGAAAAGATGTGGCCAAGAAATGGATGGCCACTGAAGTGTTCTTTTTACAAATTGTCATGCTCAATGACTTGTGCCCCTCTCCATTCTTCTCCAGGGTTCACTACAATCGGTACCAGCATCGACGCAGGGCCTGTACAGATGAAATAGCCATTTCCATACTTCTCTGCCAATGAACCAGGACCGGACAAGTAAATGTCATCGAATCCCATCCGTATTACCCTGAAAAATAGTGCTCTTCCCTGAACAGAACAGAACCGGCAAAGAAAAAATTTTAACAAGTTAAACAAGTACGGAACGTATCACATTCTAGTAAGGTTTCCAGAGAAACTGAATGGCAGGCAGTAAAACCTAAACACGGAGTTGGTGCTGCTGTCAAAATTATGTGGAACTATGCTTACACCAAAGCTAGTTTCATGCAAATTTAGGTAGATAGCAGATACATGGTATCACAATTAGGGGTTTCAGTCTGTGACACGACCCCAACCTAACTCAAAATTTATACATTTTACAGTAATATCACACAAACACGACGGCAAGGGTAACACGAACACAACACAAGCCCCGAAAATGCCTTAGCTTCACCAAGTAGAAGAAACAATATTGACATTGCAGACACAAAATTTGCAAATACCAAACAAGATTTTACCCTCCTGAAGAAAATGTTGAAAGCGAACTTTGACAATTAAAGGAATCGTTACCTTATCAAGTATCTCATAGTTGGAAGGTGGTGTGTTGTAGAACTTTTTCAATCTTTCAGCTGGTGGAGTACCATAAACCCTACTCATCTTGTGCTTCATCACAGTGTATTTATCCTCTTGTGTAGTCCATTCGCCCGGTTTCTTTTCCGGCTCCCATCCGAAAGAGAACCACCCCGGATCCTCAGTCTTCATAGCTTCAGATGGGGACAGGATCTCATACTGTGAAGACAAAGGGGGAAGCGAAGTGTACGTGAAGCTCCTGAGTCCTTCAACCCCTGCCCCTCTCCGCCTCTTCGTCAGAAAATGGGTGAGGATTGCCCCAGCAAGATTGACCGCCTTACGTCCATTATTTTTCACGATAACAGCTGTCGCAACGCTCAATGGATAGAGTGTCACGACGAATGTCAACTCCAGAGTTCCACTGGTGCTGCTCAGCTCAATCTTCAGTAAACAAATGTATCGATTAGAAATGTTAAACAGAAGCAGCCCAATCTCAATAGCGCCAAATCTTTCATGGCTGTTAATATGACTTTTTTCCAATGACATATGCATGATACATTGACCCTGTATCTTCAAACTTCCCAGAAAGTTGACAATCAAAGACTTGACTAAGTGATTTAGAACTTATTCTTACTGTGGAGCTGAATGATTTTCTTTGCTTCAATTTTCCTTTTCAGATTGAGCAAACAGAAAAACATTGTGGGAAAACAGAAACGGGAATAAATGACATAACCAATGTACCTCAGAATACATCCAAGATCAAGGAAAAGAAACAAACGATTATAACTAATAAGATATGAAAGAAGAGAGTAAATGAAGAATTAGCAGCAGTAGCAAAGTTACCTGTACAGCATCAATGGAATCATTATCAGCATCTTTGACAGTCCACTGAGGAGGAGTCTTGAGTATAGACCCTTTGGGATTCTGGTCTGAAAGTTCATTGAGGACCAAACCGATACCGCCTTTGGAATTCGAAGAAGAGTTAATCACTCCTTTAGGAGGAATAGTGTAGAGGACTTCTTCAAAACCATCATCTTTCCAGTAAACTTTAGGCTTATAAGAAGTGACATGCGCAGTTGGTATGTGAAGTTTTACTGAGCTTCCATTTCTGACAGTCAGCTCAACTGTCGGAACATCACCTGGAGAATCAAGGAACTTTATTCCTTTTCGACCAAATTTTTGTTCAAGACTAGCAGCATTTTCGGCTGCAGCTGGGGATGAGGTTACTGGAGCTGAAGAAGCAGCAGCCTTAGCTATAACACTTGGTGTGCTTAGTTTTGGGAGGGGAAAAGATAGCATGGAAGCCATGACAAGGAAGGGATTCCAGACTAGTATTATTACTACTACTATCTCTTGTAACCGGCTAAGGCTTAAGCCAATATTGGCCTTCCAATTCAGTCTGCTGTTATTTTCTCCTTTTTCATTCCTCACTATATACCCTTTTGTCAAGAATTTAACTTTTTAACTTTTTCTTCTTCTTTTCTTGGTTCAGGAAAAAAAAAAAAACACCTTTTTGACTGCGGGACAATAAGTCCTAGTGTGGCCTGTTTGCAAGAATTACTTGGGTGTAAATGATGAAGTTATCCCACATTACCGGCATGCACCAACGGTTGTCCAGCTGAAAAGCCAGACAGCATACATTCAATCACATAAAAATAAAACCTAATTTCAAATCGATTCTGCACCTTATAATTAATAGTAATACTACACACCAAAAAGGCTTTGTAACAGGAACTACAACAGATGGTTAAAACTACTAAAAATTGTGGCAGATGACCAACAGATACAGCCTCAATAAGGGCACACAAAACATTCAAAAAATCTTCAGTGCCTACAAAAACACCAACAAATCTATTATCCTCCTAACTGAAAGTCTTTGACATAAGAAGCGCCCCAGTAAGCAAAGACAACAAAACATCTAGTTTAGACACCAAGCTTAATCATCATCCATTCCTCCACCTGCAGGAGGTCGTGGACCACCAGCTGGTTTTGCCATAATAATCTGCATTAAAAAAATGCAAACATTAATATGGATGACGTTTCCATAAGATGTTAAGATGGTTAACATGATTTGCAACAAAACCGGAGCATAATGAGATAAAGAGAATGCAAAAGGGAGAAAATAAGAGATCACATCCAAACCAGTGATGCCCAACATGAGCAACCTATCAAAAAAATCCATACCAGCAATCTACACACTAGCTGACTAGCTTTACCAATAAATTTCCCCACTGAGAGTCTTTGTAACCAGATAAACCCAAAGAGGATACAGCACAACCATCATTGCCAAATTTTAAACTTAATGCAATGAGCAAAAAGCATTACCTGGTCCACCCGCAGGACAGTATTGGCAGCATCGGCAGCATATTTTAGAGCAAAAAACCTGATTGCAAAAAAAACAAATTAACAGTTAATAACTCGCCTTATATTTTTAATTTCAGTGAGGTTACAGGCAAGTAGCACTATATTAATCAACATATGATGATGATGATTTTGCCACTCAAATTTTAGACTAATAGGCAGGATTTGCCATCCAGCCAATAAAAGAAACTACTAGCAACAGACATTCCCAAAAGGAGACCTAAAGACTTCATAATTTTATACTCCCTCCGGTCCTTATTATAAGGCATTTTGATTTCGTCCTATGTTTCACTTAAGATGTATTTTTAATTAAAATAAAAATCTTAAAAACATTTCATAGTAATTAGGAGAACACAACGAATGTGAAAATATATTTTTAAGATTTTTTTCCAATTAAAAAGACATCCTAAGTGAAATATAGGACGAAATCAAAATGCCTTATAATAAGGACCGGAGGGAGTACTAAAATATGTACAACAAGCTGGACAAAAATAAACTCCAGAAATGGCAGGTAACCTCAAGAAAAGTGAACCTACTAGCAACAGACATTCCCAAAAGGAGACCTAAAGACTTCATAATTGTGCTTACTTTGTTATGTAAAGGTCCCATATAGTCATTGTAGAGACATCTTTGCAAACACCTTCCTCCAAGTCAATGCCAACTCTTGTATTTCCCGATGCATGTTCAGCATACAAAGATGATATGATCTCCATAGCATTAAGCCCAGCATTCTCTGCCAGGGTTTTCGGTATCATTTCAAAACTCTCAGCAAACTTTGAGATTGCATATTGATCCAATCTGAAGAGTTATAGAAACCGTCAGTTTTCATCCAATTCAATTATGAACACTGGAAACAAAATCCTCAAAAGTTCAGAAGAACCCCTTGTGGAACATAGAGGAATATGCATTATTAGAGCAAAAGCTTAGGCAACTAATATGTATCAATAAACTGCAAAGAATGGAGAATGGTGTAAAAATTCAAACAATGCTACTCAAATTTAAAGAGCCAATAATAGACTCTTCAAAGTGATACATAAATTAAATCAAAAAGGAATTGTGAAAAAGAAGGGTCCCACAATGTAAATTTATGGCAGTAGAGATAAGAAACTATTGGATTATAGTTAAGCTCATTGACCCAACTAAAACTCATGAAGCTACCCTAATCCAAACAAAAATGGCGTTTACTGCCAGAAACGCTAATAAGGTAACAAATGCATACCCTGTTTCTTTGAAAGAAAACTCCTTTAGTCTTCTTGCTAATTCAATCTCAGTAGCTGCTGCTCCAGGTACAGTTCGACTGTCCCTGCACATAGCCTGGTCATAGATGAATGTGAGTTAAGAATGTCCGAAACAACCCCCAAGACCAGATAGGTCAACAAATTGCCAGCAACAATACGAAAAGAAATCATCGGAAAAAAACAAGTACATTCACATGGTTCAACCATGGATACCTTGTAAGTGTTGACGCCATCATCAACAGCTCTCTCAAGATCATCCAATATACTATCGGTGCTCCCGCGAAGTACAACAGTAGCCACAGAATTTCCACCTTCCTCGTTTCTCACAATTGTAACCTAATCATTGAAGTTTCACAATAACATAAATAAGGAATAACAACAAGTAAATTGGAGAATGATGAAATTACTGTGCTTAAAGTTTCCCTTACCCTCACACCACCAATTTCTTCGACTGATATAGAATCAACATATCCAAGATCATCTGGATTTGGAGCACTAAGTTTCAGCTGTTACCAAGATAAATGAGAATATTAGAGGAGGTACTCACTGACATTACACAACCTCACGCTAAACCATAAGACACTTACAAGTGCCACAGCACCAGTGGTACGACAAAATCGACGGAGCTCAAATTTGGAACTGATCTTTAGAACCATAAGCCTGCAACAAATAGTTAAAAAGTTGAAGGATTGGTTACTTTTACTCCCATCACAAAAGAAAACCATTTGAGCAACCGTAATTAACATAAAACAGCGTTTAAATACTCCCTCCATCCCAAAATGGTTGTCCAATTTGGATTTCTTACTTTTGGCTTTCAACTTGTAGTACAAATTGTACTCAAAATGAGATTTAAAATCGGACAATCATTTCGGGACCCGGGGTGTAAATTAAGTAGGACCATAGCTCATACCATATGCAAATGACAGGGAAAAGAATAGGACAAGATATACAACAGAATAGCAAATCAAGATTCTATTCATCACCAAATAGAAATAAAAAGACGAACTTTCAATCAAATTCAGGCACACACTTCACCACAATTATATTTCATCCATCATACAGAGTGCTTGCTATACACCACTGAGAAAAATGCACGTGGATTTTGAATTGTAAAGGAAAAGAAAAACCTCACAGAATCACTTTACCAAGAATTGATTAAAGAATAAACTGAAATAAAAACAGTATACAAAACGAGCAGCATTAGGTAGATTGATCATACTTGTAGCGTTCACAGAAGTGCAGTGCCATCTCTCCAACTGCTGCTCCACTGATGATGACCTTTGCACCAGATGCTGCAACTGCTTTTATCAGCTCCTCAACCTTAGCTTCCTCTGTCTTTGCATAATTTTCAAGCTGCAAAAAGGAAAAAAGGGCCAATCACAGAGCTATAAGAGAAGTCAAGGTCCAGTTCCAAAACAATGGTATCAACCAAATCCCACTTCAGAGCTATACATTACAGTTTTCCAATTTTATGTATCAGAAGATGGCATGGAAAAGTTCCTGCTCTACATAAACTGGAGTTCGTACACTTTACGAGGCAGAGAGAACAAATAGCAAGATTAGAGCACCAAGGTTGAGACTTGAAAAGAACCACCACCCAAAACCGAGTCATGCAACTTAACCAAAACAACTTTTCCAATTACAATAGTATGAAAATCATTTCAACATCACATCCATTCTAAAGAGGGTTGATTCAACTTCGACTAATAGAGACTCAATTAATCAAAACTGGTCATGCAGAATTGTGCTTCCACGTGCATAACATTGCACATCATCAAACATCATAGAATATGGGAGACATTGTGAAGCTTATAACCTTAAAAAGGGAGACAGAAGTATGTGAAAAATTAAAGATACCACCATTTGTGAAGTAAAATTTGTCATGACATCAAAAGCCTAGCCTAGTAGGATTTACTATTTACAGAGAGAAGTTCAATCAAACAAATCAAAAGCAAGAAACAATCAAACAAATCAAAAGCAAGAAACAACACAATTTAAATATACCTGTTCGGCACTATGAATTAATACGGTTCCCTTTGTCTCAGTTGCAGTGGTATCCACACCCCCAGCAAAAACAGCAACCTGCAACAGTAAACAAACTTTTAGCCCCAATAAAAATGAGTGCCATTATTGATAAATCAAACTAGGATAAGTTTTCTTTTTTTCGCTTGACAAGAAGACAAAAATGAAATATGTATCATGCCAAAACCTCCAAAACACGGCATAAAAGCACCCCGAATCAATAGGACAAGCATTTTAGGTTGACTGCTTTCTATGAGAAAAGTGCATGCTGCCTTCTGTGAAATATAAACAAAGGAAAAGCAGAAAGAGGATAGTGGAAAAAGCTGTAAATGCAATGGCATGTTACTTAGCAACGAGAAGATTACGCACACAAAATGAAAAGCAGGTGAGAGATTGCGATTTAAATGTGATTAAAGAAATCTAATCCCAACTACAGTAAGAAAAACAACAAACACGGGCATGGAAAGATGACTAACCTTTGCCTTTTCCATCTTCTTTATGCTTCCAACAGCATCAGTTTTCAAAACCATGCCTTGAATGATAGTACTATCATGCAAACCTCCTCCCAAAAGCTTTGCTACTCTGACATTGTCCACATTAAAATTTGCAGGGTTCTTAGGGCAAACTTGTATGCAAGCCTATTTTCCAAATCAAAGGAAGATAGTAAGCGAAATAGTTTCCAAAAAAGCACAAATAGTGGTATCCAAAATATATACCTGGGCAATAAGACGGCATAAAATATCCTCCTGTCCAAACTGTTTGCTGGCAACAGCTGCTTTCATTCGAGAAATAACCTCTTCTTTGTTTCTGACATCCATAGTATCAGAACCTTGCTCCACCAGCTCCTCAAGTACCTCTATTGCCTGAATAAGGCGGTACACAGTATACACGTGAACAAGTAGGAAGCAAAAGCAATACACAAAGAAACTGGGGATAAGTAGGGAGGGCAAACCTTCTTGATTGCCTTGGTGTATCCAATAATGATCTCACTTGGATGGAGCCCCATCCGAATGAGCTCTTCAGCATTTTGAAGAAGTTCGCCAGCAAAAGATACGCATAGATTAGCTCCATCACCAATTTCCTCCTGCTGGGCCTTCCCAGCCAGAACCACAATCTTAGCAGCAGGGTGCTGAACCTCAAGCTCACTGACAATAGTAGCAGCATCATTTGTCACAAAAAGCTTGTCCAGATGATTGATGACCATCTTATTCATACCTAATCACATTGAAAGCAAGTTCTATCAATGCCCCTTATTGGAAACTCTGTAACATTCAGAAAATAACTAATGGACCCGACAATTGCTACAGGCATCGCTATCACTCAGGATAAGAGCATTGCAGCAAAAGAGAATAACTACCATTCACGCCTTGAAAAGAGAGCTCCTCTAGTAGAAACCGAAATGCTAGGTCATGTTTTAAAGTTCCAGCAATGAACTCAGAACCCACAAATTCAAACAAGAAAAAAAAAAAAAAGGAAACAGCAGATATTTACACTCCTCAAGTACTTCAAAAGTGAATAATCCAACTCATGCCAAAACCCCAGAACAAAAGGAAGGAACAACAGCATCCAAAATCACTTAAGTGTCCATAACACGAGAAGAACAACGCAATAACAAAGAAACCAGAAGTCCAGAAGAAGGCCAGACTTAAATTACACCGAACAAAAACTAAATAATTGCGGAGTCATAAAAAATGTCAGCAATCTGAACTCGATGAAATCTGGGATTTCCAAAAAGTTCCCAAAAAAAAAAAAAACAATCAGTAAGGAACCAAAAGTACAGGCAAGCAGGCAGAGATTAGGAAGTAGAAAAAGGTAAAAGGAGGGTGAGAAAAATGAACCATTGGGGCCGAGGGAAGTGCGAGTGATTTGAGAGAGCTGTTTGCAAGCATCAATGTTCTTGAGAACGGCTTCATCGAGACCGGAGAGATGCTTGTGACCTTCCTTCAACATTGACTGAATCCCATAAGGCGCCATCCCACCGAAGCCCACCATTGTTGTAGCGGTAACAGTGGACAGCGATTAGTTGGGAAGCCAAATCTGAGAGACCTTTTTTTCTTCTAACCACACCAGTAATAGTATGATTTGATCGGAAAGGTTTGAAGTTTGAAGCGGAAAAGTAGAAGAAGAGGGAAAGCAAATGAAAGCCCTAGAAAACTTCCACTCCCCCGAAAGACGAAGCACAAGAAGGTTCTATGGGCAACAATACTTTTGGGCTTATTATTGGAAAATTTGGGCTCGACCTTATCCAAGACTTGTGTCATACTACTACCCGCCCCTATTTGAGCCCCATTCCGAACAGAGTAATTTGACTGGAGATAATGAGTCAGTCAGAGATTAAAAATAAACATAAAAAATCATAAATGGACCGGCGGATTGAGTTGTTAAAAAAAAATTAATTAATTTAAAATAAAAATAATTGAAGAGAATAAAATATAAAAATAAAGAAACCGATCAATCGAGCAAGTTTTCCAACTAGACAATGTTTACCCGAACTGACTAACCGTCCGAGCATAAACCAGACATGTAAATTGCATGTCGGGGTTTAGTCATGGACGTGCAATTTATACATACGGTTCACTCTCGAACGGTCATTTTGAGACAATATCGTTGAGATTGAAATGTAAAGTTCTATTGAACTAGTATTCAACCCACAATACTTTATCAATTACAGTATTGGAATATTATAAATTTAAAAGGAAACAACATATGTGACTAGCAAAAACGAGGGTGTTGTGGTGAACGTGTGGGATATATAACATACTTAGATAGGATTGAAAACGAGTGTTTATAAAGGAGGTATATGTAGTAACAATAAAGAATAAAATAAGAGAATCGCACTTAAGATCATTCAAGCATGTGCACATGAAACCGATGTATATACTAATTAGGAGGGTGGAAACTAGAGCTGGCAAAAATACCCACAGACTTACTACCCATCCAAATCTACTGGACTTTGGTCCATAAATGTCCATCCATTTAAAATGCTGAACTTGGGTGGATCTGGATAAAAAATTACTTGGACGGGTATGGGTAGTTTACGGTTACCCATCGGGTAGTCTATTAAATTTTTAAACTATACAATCATCATTTAAGCAGGCTATGACCTGACCCAACCCAACCCATTTAAGGAATGGTCATATAGGGTTGGGTCATGACGAGTTGGCGTGGATTGTGAGTCAACTGGTTTACTATAATTTTTATCCGGGGGTTGATCCATACATAAAATTATTTTTAAACAATGGTATATTTTATAACTTAATGGACTTTAAATTTTTACATTTACGGCAAGTATAACTGGGTCAGCCCATGCATCGAGGTAGGTCGACTCAATAACCAGGTCATGATACACAAGTCGAATTTTTATTTTTTATTTAAATAAATTTTACACTTGTATTTTCTAACTTCTTCAAGTTCAACTTTTATGTTTTGAGCATATTAAACTGGGTCGATCCATGAGTCATGTCGGATCGACCCAATAACCAAACCACGGTACATGAATTAAATTTTGATTTTTTAAAAAATAAAGTACAACTATGGATTTTAACTTAGGAGACTAATAATTATATTTTCTACTAAGTTTTACCGGTCGACCCATGAATCGAGTTGGGTCCATCCAGTAACCAGGTCGCGATATGCAGGTCGATTTTTTTATTTTTTGTTCAAAGAAACATTTACACTTTGTATTTTCTCGCTCATTGAAATTCAATTTTCATGTTTCGAGCCATATTAGACTGGGTTGATCCACGAGTCGTATTGGGTCGACCCAGTAATCGGACCACGGTACATGTATCGTATTTTGAATTTAAAAAATAAAATACAATCATGAATTTTAATTTAGAGACTAATAATTTTTTTATTTTCTATCACGTTTTACCGAGTCGACCAATGGATCAAACTGGATCGACCCATGAATCGAGCTGGGTCAATCCATTAATCGGGTCATGATAAGCAGGCATTTTTATTTAGTTCAAATACAACTTATACTCGTATTTTCAAACTCGTTGAATTTCAAATTTTCACGTTTCAAGCAATAGTTAACTGGGTCGAGTTGAGTCGGCCCAATAACCGAGCCACGATATATTGGTCTAATTTTGATTTTTTTTTTTTGTTAAATAAAGTACAAACATGAATTTTAATATAAGAGAACAATGAGTTTTATGTTTCATATCAAGTTTTAACGGGTCGATCTAATATCTGGGTCACATTTGAATTTTTGTTCAAAAAAATATACACTTGTATTTTCCAACTTATTGGACTCATAGTATTCATATTGGTGTGAAAGAATTAATTTATTATTTCGTTTTATTTAGTTGGGCTCATATTTATTACATTGGTAACATATGTATTTATGTTAAAAAGTCCAATAAATATATTTATAGATATCCATGGGTATGTATTCATGGATACCCATGGATACTTATGGGTATTTAATACCCATCCATTTAAGTCCATTAAATTTAATGGATATGGATGGGTATTTATCCATTAAGCTAATAACCATTAACAACCAATCTCAAGTAGTCCAAATCCGCCCATTTACCGGCTTGAGTGGAAACCATTGAATTAATAAGAAGAAATTATGAAAAATGAATTGTACTATTCAAAAATTATGAAAAACGAATGGTAATATTCAAATTTAAAGGATAAATTGCCCACTAATCGAGTATAACGGAACACGTGATCCATGACCGACTCCACATTGTTATTGTGTATGGTTTGTGTTCATATTTAGAAGGTCTGCACTCGAGTTAACATAGATTACATGTAGCTTGTGTTAGAAAATAGGGGAATGACAAAAGATAGTGGGTAATATTGGATATGTATGATAATTTAACATCGGTTTGGACTTGAATATGGATATTAAATGAATTTTCGAGTAACTGGTATGCATTAGGGGATAGTGTTAAGTCCACATGTTTTTACCATAATAGTTGATACAATTACTAAATTTTTGTAAATAATATTTATATGTACTAGATGTTAAACCTGCACGATGTGTGGAATTTATTCATATGCATTTATAAAAAAAAATCTAAGTTTAAATGCGCTGAATGCAAATGAATTGGTTAGCATGTAATAACAAAGACTATATGAGCAAAAACAAATTAAAAGTTATCAAAAAAAAATCCCATGCGCTATTAGATTGCAATGCAAGAATGTTACCATGCAAATATATTATGCCTCTATAAAAAAATATAAAATTCCGCCAACATAATTAATTAAAATATTGCATGCCATACATAATGGATTTATTTTATATCCAGAAAAAAATACAATAAAATAATAGTAATAAGATGCAAAACAATAAAAAGAATTGCAAAGATTAAAATATTATTTTATTTAATCCATACTATTGGTATTAATTTTATTGATGATTAACACATGGATTTTGTGGGATAAAGAAAAATATTAAGTATAATAATTGATCATATCAATCAAGCATTTGGCCTAAGGTAATAAATATATATATATATATATATTCCATTTATTTATTTCTTAATGTCGGTATCACAACTCACGGTATACATGACCTAAGTAAATATATTGTTTCCTTCTGGATGTTTAGCCGTTTAAAACGGCTTCTTTGTGGATTTATTCGGCCCAAATAAATGGATTTCAATAGTGGAAGGATGTCTAGCTGGACAAATTCATATATTGTTTAAGAACACTATATCGATATGTTGCTATACCAAAAGTAGTTTTTACACCCTACTTATTTATAAAATAAAGTGAATAAAAGAGATTGGCAAGTAGACATGAATCCCTCTTTTAAAACTTACATTAATACGAACTCCAAGTTTTATCATGCGATCAATTTAATTTCAATTCATTACCACCAACATGAAAAGGCACAAAGTATCCAAAAAGTGATCCGCTATCCATAAATAAAAAATGATTAATAAATCATCCTAAAAATATGAAGTATTTTAATATGTGGTAAGAAAACAATTTTACAACACCAATTGAAGAAATAGAGTTAGTGAAAGTTTAGCATAATCCAAAAACCTATTGAAAAAAATAGAGTTAGTGAGAATTTAGCATAATCTAAAAACCTGTTAAAGAAAATAGAGTTAGTGAGAGTTTATAAATTGTCATAATTCGGGCATAAAAAGATTAGTGCAGAAGAAATAGTAAGGCCACCAAATTAACGCCCACAATCACAATCACAAATTGAGTTCAATCAAATAACTTGAATTTGATCAGTAAGAAAGAACAACCAAATTGAAAGCAAGAAGATTAATCATTAAACAATGATCACAAAAGAAATTATACAGTATTCTTTACATGTAATCTAAAAACTACCAAATCGAAAAGGCAATAGACAAATAATAAAAGTACGAAAGATTAACATTTTTTACTTGATATATTCACCACCATTACTTTCAAATTTCCAGACACAAATCTCTCTGATCGTCTTCTACAGTGTTTAATTGTCGGCATGAATTTTCTTATCAAACAATTAACAACGCAGGAGAGCAAAACTAAATCACTTACCAATCTTACACAAATATAGTATCATCATTGTGTCAGCCTTTTTCGGAACGATTACAGTGTCGTGTAGAATGACATGATGCTAATCTTTTTGACCTAAAATGTAACGGAAAAAAGAGAAAAAAAAAAAATATATATAATTAGTTTCAATGACCTTTCGAAAAAAATGATTCATGTAGGCAATCATCTATCAGAGAGAAAGATGTATATATACTTGTTAAGGTTTGACTCGGTAAATGCCTCAATAGTTTCAAGTTTTTTTTTTTTTTTGAAATTTGAATTGAATTGATTATAAAAAGATTAATTTTTTTTAACACAGTTGGAAATAGAATATTTTTCAGAATTGAATTGTTTTGATAATAAAAGGCCTGAATCATCTCTTACGACATTGTGTTATTCTATTTTCAAATTACAAAATAAAATCATGTTAATTAATGACCAAATTTGATTTGAATTGATTCAGTTTTAAATGATAATTATTGCTTTCTTTTTTCTAGATC